TATTATATACTTGTATTTATTGATTATTAATTAATCAGGTAAAAGTATGAGAATGAATAATGTGAAATTCTATAGAGTGAATAACCTTTGTTTTTCCTTTTTTTGGAATTTCGCCTGAGAATTCTCAATCTTGTATTGTTACTTGTTATGATTAAAAGAAAGAAGTACCTGAGATGTCAACTGATTGATTAACACCACTTAGTATAGTCAAAAAATATTTTTCTTGTTGTATGCGCAGGTATTTTAAAAGCTTTTCACTTATTTAGAAGGCAGCCAAAAGTTCGACATTTTTGGAAATGATATTAGGTTAAAAATTTCATTTCTCACTTCCAGTAAAAGTGTGAACATAAATAATACTTCAAAATTTTGCAAATAAGTCTTATCGCAAATGTTAAAATGACCACTAATAAGGTTTTCAATCATGTTAGCAAAATATTCCTAGACTTATGTATCAAACTCCGAATTTTATAGCGTTTGTGACAAAATGAATGTGAAAATACTGATGGAACGGATTTTTTTTACATGTGTACACGACAAAGAACAAAAGACAATAGTTCTGTATGTGTACACGCTTTCAGTATAGATCGTCTTAGTGTTTCACGACCATTTCTTTCCAAACATGTTTTAAAGCTGAAAACGTCGTGTTTTTGGCTGCATACACACGTTTTCTGAATTCTTTTCTGCTTAGATAGCTACATCTGTTATCAAGTTATTCATAATGTAAGCATCTGCCTTCGTTTTTGAAATGAGTAATATACATGTGTATGCAGAATATTTCTCTTATTAGCACTTCATGCCCTTCATTTTACAATATGCCTTTTCTTTTCTAGCGTGCTGTCTCGTGTTGTGACAGAGTACACTTAGAGTTATTCGGTGTGAATGAGAAAACAAATGTGTTTTTTTTTCTTCCTATATAAGCTGCTGCTTCTTTCTTTTGGTTCGTTGTCTTCAATAATGATAATAGGCATTCTTTATTTGTTATTGAAGAAAAGAATATGCAACACGCATGATCTTGCATAATGAGCGAGAGTGAAAAATGATTTAGGATCACGTCTGTGGCGAAAAATGTAGTTACAAAGACAAATATGAAGACTATAGAGGTAACCAAAGAAAAAAGTGTCATAATGCGATCAGAAAAGACCATCAAAGAAGTTAGTTAAAATGATATTTATACGATTTTAAACGCTTATTGGACCATTAAAGATTCCTAAACCTGATCAAACGTGCCAATTTTTTTCTCAACTTATGCATCTTTACAACTCTTTTTGTTAGTTTCTACTGGATCTATTAGAAGCTTCTTGAAAGAGATACTTTTTAAAATAAGCATTCTTCTATTGTAATTAGTTTTAGATATTTAATAGATTTTCATACTCGTTTTTTTCATCATAGTTACTATTGAGTTGATTGTCACAGCTAGTTAAAATTTTTCCATGACTATGTAAACAGCGAGCTACTTATTTCACATATCTGTTTAAAGTAGCTATGGGAATGACTAAATAGCTAGGTGCACTCGTTTCGATTATGTTTTTGTCTTAATGATGAAAAAAATTACGCTTCGATCTAGTTTTGAATTAAATTTCATAATATCTAAACAAAAAAAACGGTTTTCAGGAGTGTTTGGTGTTTTTTTCATTGATAATAAAAATTGAGTAGACAATATATTTGATAAACATATTTCAACATGTTTTCTAATAATGTACGTCCAATTTTGCATCTTCGAAAGATACAAAATGAAATTTAAAATGGCTCCAAAACTTATGAAACAATCTTTATATATGTTTCTTTGATCGATATTGGAACCGAGTGCTTTTCTAAAGAAAACAATTCTATTCCATAAACTTGGGTTACTTGAGGTATCGTTTTAATGAATTCTTAGTTAGTCTATTCTCGTTATTAAAATATAACAAAAACTTATTAGTGAAATTTTAGTGTATGAGACTTTATATCAAATTTAAGACTTAAAAACGTTTTAAATTTGATATAGATTTCTGTATATGTATCAAAACTAAACGAATTAGTCACTGTTACAGCAACATAACAAGATTGAAATAACGAGAAATTCAACTAAGATATTGTTCAAACAGCTCAAGTCTATGGATATTTTCAATTCAAAACTCGAACGGGTAAAAATGTGTTAATTATCTTGAACGAAAATGCAATCTTAAACATGTGCGCCTTTTACAGTTTAAGCATAATCTCATAACCAATACATCTAGCTTTGTAAGTACTACTTCTTTTTTCCATTTGATAGAGTGTGAAAAGTTACCTGTTGAGGGAACTTTTGACGGTTCGTGAAGATTAGCAACCTAGTCAAATGCGAACAACAAGGACTCAATAGATAAAAGGAAATCTTACTTTTTCTTTCAATTTCATACTTGTCTCATAAATCTTGCTACGTTTTAGACTTTTTACAGTCCATATTCTGAACTAGCATGCATTACTGAATTAGCAACAATATCCCTGATTTTAACTAAGTGTGTATGAAGTCTATATATGTAGCAAAAAAAGTAATAAATTAACGAAATAATACAGAACAACAGGTGGTTCAGAAGAAATGGTTGCGTTCTATATTTCAGTTTTTTGTCATTAAATACTCTTGATGAAAAAAAAACAAAATATAATAAACAAAGTTCTATGGAACCATTTTTCGACGATGCGGACAGAATCATCTGCTAGTACACAATGAATTCCTTTTCTTATTTCATCAATTAACGAGTCATAGTTTTTAACTTTATTATATAGCATATCATTAACTAGAGCATCTCACCGATAATAATCCAGAGCATGGAGATCGGGACTATTTTGTTGTCATCGGTGAGTTTTTATGATTTCATTTCTTTTTATGAACTAAAACACTGATGTTGATATGATTTGTTATTAAAAAGTTGGTAAGTATCTTTAACTATTAACATCAGAGCCAGTGAAAAAAATATAATCGAAACACATTCCAAGAGGTCTAAAATCGGCCATCAATTATGACCTTCGATATGATTCACGAATCAAAGAAATAAGAAAAGGAATTTATTGTGTACAGAAAAAATAACTTTTTGCAGTTTCGAAATATGATCACAAAGAACTTTCATCTATTTCGAAAGTTAAAGATACGTATGTAAAATAATCTTTCTATTTCAGATAGTAGAGCTTCTTATGCTACATCTTGCGATATGTTTTGTTTTTATAAAACATATTTAACGACTTAGTTTGGCTCATTTATTTTAGCAAAACTAGAGCTATACTTAAAGTGAAGCAATGGTGAGGTTCTTATGATGACATTCGTGACCAACACATTTGAGGTTTTTCAAAATCGTATTCTGTGACAACCATCGGAAAATCCGGGTATTGAAAGGCAATAAATCGAGTTTTGGGAGATTAATTCATAGAATATGACTGAGATCAATCTTTGGGTTCATTTCGATAGAAAAATCATGAATCTATTCATAGTTAGAGTATGGCATTATTCGCTTCATTCTTTGTGAAATTTCATGTAGAGTTAGGTCGAAGTGTGATGATTTTGAGAGAAGAAGTGCAGCGCGAATGGAACTATGCTTTTTTCCACTTTCTCGCGTCATCAGTCGCATCAACACTAATACATAGAACACAAACTTACATATCTATTCGAGGGAGAGAAGATGATGCATATCAGGATGGCATGAAAGGAGAGATTTCTCCGGAAAAATAATGCTACTCCAAGAACATAAAGTCTTTTGTTGAAAAGTGTATTGAAGTCTTTATAGAATCGATTTGGAAGTTTAAATGATATTCCGAATCAATTGGTTTTCCACACTGTTTCACCGTTCTATGTATTGCATAGGTAGGCATCCACACATTGACTAGAAATGGTGTGTGGAGGCATTATGAGTCCATCTCCTCAGCTTGATATTTTATTGTGTATATAATATAGTGATTGTTCATGATAATTAGAATGAGCGCCAATGTTAACTATTATTACTAATGATTATATAGTAACATTGGAGTTATGATAATAAACCACTCCTTCTAATCAAGCAAAAATCTTGAAATTGTTGCAAAAAAAGCTATCTTCTTGTTCTCTTTTTCTTCTGACTAGATATTATACTCCTATGTGCATTACTTTTGGAAAAAAGTTAAAAGAACAATAATAAATGGACACAAACATGTCAAAATTATCTCACAATGCCCATACAAAACTACATTATGTTGATCCAGTGATTGCTCTGCTCATACCGAAGCAAATTATTAGTAGTACAGATCAATTTGGGCAGAAAATAGACGATATTCAAGACAAAGGTTGCTGTCTAAGTTTTGATAATGCATGCTGTTCAGTATTTGGTCGATGGTGGAATGTTCGTTATAAATGGCAGCATAGAATTGCTCATTTTGTCGAACAACCACTTTTTCACATTGCTATCATTGCGTTAGTTCTCATCGATTGTTTACTTGTAACAGCAGAACTCACACTTGATTTTATCAAACTAAAGAATCCTTGTGGCTTAAAATCTATTAATAATACTGTGATACGTCATGAAGAAGATGAACATGATCACATAGAACTGATCATTGAGATTCTTCATTATTCGTCTCTGGTACTTTTGGCTGTATTCCTCGTCGAGGTGCTCATCAAAGTATATGCATTTGGACGACATTGGTGGAATTTTCATAAGAAGAAAATGGAAATGTTAGATGCCATCATTGTTATTGTTTCTTTCGTTATTGATCTAGCTAGCGTGCATAAAAGCAATGTTTTCGCCGAAATATCTTTACTCTTCATTTCTCTGCGTCTGTGGCGTTTTGTAAGTTTTGTAGTAATTATCTAAATATATCACTTAATTATCGTGTGTTTAGATTCGAATTATCAATAGTAAGAAGCGTTCATTTCGTTGTATGTTTCTACGTCCTTCCTCTCTTGTCTAGGTGTGGCTCAGACCATTCGATCTGAAGACGAAGCTAAAAAGAAACAGTTGGCTACTAGTTATCATGAGCTGATAGAAGCACTACTGACCATTACAGAAAAAAAGACCACTATGATCTCGACACTTGGTCATAAAATGACCGTGGAATATTTTGACAATGCTCTTAACAAGTTTGAAACAATCGATCAATCTTGTCGTGCAATTTTTGAACATTGTCAACATCCATCATCACTCAATGTTGTCGCTGAGATGACTCATCATTTACAAGATGTAATAGAAAAACTTCAACTGGCATCATTAACAATGAGTCAACCATCAAGCACCTTAGAAGAAAAACTCCCATCGTCAGATATGGTCGAATCTGACCGGAATCATCACCGGATTGCGCCAAATCCGTCGGAATGGAAATCCGATAACATCCTATAGAACCTAATATGCACAGATATATGATCTGAAAACCGGGCGATTCATTCTTTTAGTAGTTCCAGTGGTTATCGTCAAGTTAATGTTCTATATACATTGAATTTTTTCATTCGATTTCATGTGCCGATGATCACTAGTGTTTCATCATTTTCTATAGCATGACTTCAATTTGTTTGAGAGTGAAAGTGTGAAGAAAAGACTCGAATCCAAACTCATCCATTCACACTCACTATGAAAAAGTTCATTAACGCCAGAAACTCAATATCGAAGTTTCAGAAATCATTTCAAGATAAATGTCAATTTCAAAAAATCTTCAAGATGTATTATATGCTTTCGTTTTCGTCAACTACGTCACTGCTATAAAGATAATGAACCTTTCAAATTTTTATGAACAAAACTTGTAAACGCTGGAAGAATTTATTATTTTTGTAATAGTGCAACGTTTACGAAAATTTAATGCAGGATTTATCAGGTTAATACACATCATTGTACGATATATTATTCTACGCTTTTGTTTACAGTATTCGCAATGTCAATTGTATAGGAATCGACTATGGCTGTAGCTTGTAGAGGATCGCATATGCTATAGAACGAGGTAACTTTCAGAAGATTTCATCAAATAATTCTGGAGATTTATACAAAATCCATTCTTTTCTCCAAATATTTTACAGAGGAAAAAAGTATTATTACTCTTTGTACACTACTGCATCGTGGTCAAATTCTCAGCGTCTCTAAAAGCTAGACGTCTGCGTGCTTAAATTTGGTAATAGTGCTAGATTTTCATTCGGTAGTCGGTGTCAAGTTTCGACTCAAGTATGCTTCGTGAAACTTGACAAGTTCTTTTGAACAGTGTCCTAAAGACTGGATGATTGTGGGTGTAAGCATAATACTTCTGTATAGTGTATCGTAATTTTCTCTCATTTTTTTCTTTGTTGATATAATCTTTCGTATTTGGATATATTAATAGTGTCGTTGATATTTTTGTTTTGTTGAACGTTTTTCATATGTTGTCTTATTTAAAATTGAGTGCTATTCGGAAGGAAAACATATCAAACGTCAAACAAGTATTGGCATTCAATGGTTAACTGAAGTAAACAAACACAGAAGTTTGTGAAAATAGTTTATTCGAAACAAAAATAAAAGATATTATATAATATATTTAGACAAATAAATAAAGCGAATGTTTTTTTCGATCATCACTGCTATTGAACTTGTCAATGTAATGGCTTTTTGTTAGCTGATAACCATTCATTATAATCATCAAAAGAACTTTGTCCCTCTTCTATGGCGCATTGTTTAACACACATGAATGATTCTCCATTTTCGACAAAATAGTCCGACAATGGTCGTCGATTATCCCAGTTTTCAAATTCGTTTAACCGTCCAAATCGTGAATTTAATGGTACATTTAATTGTTTTTTCAACTCACCCACCGTGAGTGACGTCGGAATATTGTTTAGATTGATTTTATTGTCACTACCTTTTGCAGATACTTCAACAATGATATTGATTAGTGCAGTATTCGAAGATGACGTAGACGCCATTGTTTTATCGTTGTGCTGCCAATAACTCTAAATATAAGCTCAAAAATAAACACACAATTCATTGTAAAATACTATCATCAGTTACTATCAGACTATCACGACCAAGTTTGCTCTGTTCAAAATCCTAAACTTATGCTTTCAATATCATTTAAAACTGAGTCAAAAGTTTTAAGCGAAACCTTTAATAAATTTCTGTACACAGTTTATGAGAAAGATTATTACAGAGATACTGAATCTTGTGAAAGTCACTGATAAAGCTAAAAATTTGTCCTAACCTTTAAAAAACATATCTTTCAAGATAGAAAGATTTTGAGGTGACCCAAAAATTTTTCTTTAATATTTTTCATAGTGGTGAACTGAGACTTGATTTTAATAATTGTGAAGAATACTGTCCTAATCGAGTGCATTTGTTATACATTAGATAGGCATATCAAATTGTTTGTTAAAATTCGAAATCTTGTCTTTTCATATAAGATAACTTCTGCCTAGCAAAAATTGAATCATGTTCATAAACTGAATATTTTGCTATGAAAAGTCTCTTGCATTCGCATACTCTAGTATACATGTTATTATATTTAAGTACATTCATCTCTGGTGAAACTGGTGTCGATTTCTAGGAATGTATCTCATTATGCATGCGGAAGCTTGAGTTTTCACTTATCTAAATGAAGCCCTGTAGAATCATCTTTGCATTCTGCACGAATGATTAAGTATTAGTCTGATGCATATTCTCAACCTGAGACACTTCAATCGACAAATATGGGAAATAGATTGGTGTGCTAGAGAATTCGGCTTTGACAGGGTCTTAGTTCAAACGTAACATAACGCTCAAAGTTAGCTTCCAAAATCTAGTAGTTGGTACAAAGACAAGGTCTACGATTCATATTGTAGATGTTGTTAACGATGAGATAATAATAAAGTTTCGAACAAAAAAAATGCACCGTCATATTCGACAGTTGCTGAACAACATATTAGACAAAATAATAAGCAGTACAAAAGAGATTAGGGTTCAATTTTATAAACTTTTTTCTTTGATCAACAACCGATGATGTTGTTATTTTTCCGAAAAACTAGTTGAATTAATTGATGATAAGTTTGGGTACTTCATCTATCAAATAACATTTAAGTGAAAATGTGAAGTAATTAAGTTCTTTATCTCTCTTATCACGAATCGCGCATCAAGTTTCCAGTTACTATAGCCTTACTTTAATATGTTTTTAATTCATAGAATGAATCAAATTCTGGCGAACAATACGCCTCTCAGCGAACTCGTTCGAAATTTGAGCTAGAAACATATTACAACAAGGCTATGCTAATTGATGATTTTACACGCGATTTTTCGCTAAAAATCGAAAAGTCAGTCTTGTACAATGGACAATAGAAAGAGTGGAAAAAATCTGCGAAGAACATACATAATGTTAAACAAAAGTTTCGAGTTCTCTTTAAATGTTATCTATGAAAGTTAGAATACGATAAAAAAAAACACAAAACGTTTTCTTTGTCACTTTATTGAACTAATTTCATGAAACCAAATTCTACTTACTCTAATGCTGCTTGTGTCTAAGTAAAATAACAAACAATACGAATACAACGGAAAAACAGTTAAAAAGAAGATTAATTGTTGAAAAAGAAAGAAACCCAGCCTTTTTGTATTATGTTTGAAGGACGAATGATTCTGTATAATCATGCATATTTATCGACATGATGTAATTTCGATCCTCTATCATGGACGAATAATATTCGTAACTGTCATAAATATTCTTTTCTCTATGATGTACGTGTCGCCACAAACAAGCACGTTACGTGGACTTATTGCAATGGCTTTTTCATACATGTATTAGTAACTTATGAATCTGTGTTTAATTAATGCTGAAATTGATCACAAGACTTTTGAGTCATTATCATACGGTTCAGTATACGATTTCTTCGATTTTTCGTTTCATAAGTTATTAGCTTTAGAACAAGATCATTTTCTATTCAGAATGAAACTATAAGTGTAAAAAGAAATGGCCTACACTCAATCACACTCTTTCAATGAAGTTAAAGTCTAATAAAACATGCAATCGAACCAAAAGATTGACTTGAATTAAGTCTACAGTACCAAGAAAAGATACTAATACTTATCAAGCATAAGTGAGACAAATATTGAGATTTAGTAAATTTAACTTTTGATATTCGGATTTATATGAAATAACTTCTACTATCTTTGAAAACTTCCATTCAGAAAAGAAAACATTATTGTTATCCACGTGATAAGCAAAATAAGATTGATCATGATCAAATGTGACAATGTGTGATACTTCTAAAAATTATACAGATATTTAGAAAAAAGAAACTAATATTAAGAATAAAATACAAAACGAAAGCGTTATCATAGTGAGTTGCTCCATTGAATACATTGAACACAGGGTCCTCAGTATTGTCAGATAGAAATAAATAGAAGCTTTTTCGTTATACACTATCACATGGTGTCTAACCATGGATTTGAGATTCTTATAATTGAAGATAAAAATAGTGACTGTCATGAAATCATTCCTGATGAAAAGTGAACGGCTATTATAATGATAGTTTTCTTCATCGTATTCAACATTGTTTAGAAACCATGGTTTACGACATGATTATTATTTTTCATTTTGTTGAAACATAACAATCGTTAGTTTCTATATTATTTTAAAGACGATATAATGAATCAAGCACAGTATGAATAATATTTTTTTGATCTTGTGTATGATCCATGAAAATTACTAATAAAGATCGAAAATGTAAAGCTCGTTTTCGAGCTGTAGATGCATATGATTACAGAAATGTAGTCGTTCAATCTGAAATTCTCAGGAATTATATGGAGACTGATTTAATGCCATCATTTTTGAATCTTTTTTGGCTGGAATTATAAAATTTCAGGTCAGATTTGACTTCGATCACACAAGTATTAATGTGGATATTTAGACAGGTATAGTAAAAACTATAACTGTTGTGAGGTCTTAGAATAAGTAACAAGAAATAATCACAAGAGTTTTATACAACTTTCGATACAGTGCTCAATTCAAGACAGAATTTTGTAATATAATTTTAAGTTAGATTTAAGAATCAGTTTGAAACAAATAAAAATATTATCAGAGTAAATGTCCATTTTGGTAAACTTTAATATTTTTACAAAGGAAGTCACCACGATAGTTTTTCTTAAGAAACATGAGAACATTCAAAATAGTCACAAAATTATATGCTTTTGAACATTATCGGCTAGATTGATGTCTAGATCAAGCAGAATTTTCTGAATATGTTCAGCGTAATATAATGATTTTCTGAAGCATGTACTATTAGAAATATTGACGAACTTTTTCACCAGTGACAATTTCCTTATTCATTTAATTGTTTATACAGCCTTTCTTCACAGAGGTAGCTTTCTCGTAACTTGTAGTATTTTTAGAGAAAATTATTGTAGGAAAATATTCTTTGCTGTAAGATACAAGTGATCGATATGCCCGTTGAATGAGTCTATCAGTGTGAGAGCGAAGGTGGAGAGGATGTGGGTGGGTGTGGGTGTGGGTTAAAGAAGCAGAACACATCCACAT